GCATATTGAATGCAGTCCTCCTGCATGGTTGGCCAGAAAAAGCCTTGTCGCTTAATCTTCAAGGCCAGAGCTCGCCCGCTAGAATGATTTCCACCTGCACCATCATGAACGTCCTTGATGCATCGTTGAACTTCGTCGCCATGGAGGCAAGTAAGAAGGATGCCTGATTCAGTCCATCGGCATAAGACACCCTCGATGATTGCGTATTTGGCGCTTCGAGCATGAATTCGCTGAGCTGCCCATTTCTCTGGTGGTAGCTCGCCAGTTTCCAGGAAGCGTCGTATCTCGACTCGTCAATCTGCTGCTGGCTGGTCGTCAGTGGTTGCTATAGGAATGGTTTCGTCTTCGTCGGCTGTGATTTGAAAAACTTCCTGGGGTGGCACTATGCTGGGCTGGGATATTCCTTGAACGGGAATTGTTCTCTGAAGGGTTGAATCTCTGTTTGATGCAATAGCAGCTAGAGCATCCGCACTGGTGTTGGCAGATCGGTCAATCTGATGTAGTTCACAGGTTGTGAACTCTGCTGGTAACTGCTTTACCAGCTTCAGGTAGGCATCCATTCGATCGTCCTTCGCGTCATACTCTTCGCTGAACTGCTTAGCGACGAGTTGCGAATCGTTAAATACCCAGATGTGTTGGATGTTCATCCCTCGGGCTAGTCGTAGACCGCCGATCAGCGCTTCGTATTCGGCTTCATTGTTAAATGTATTAAACTTCAGACAGAAGCACTGCTTGAGAAGCTCTCCGGTGGGGGATTCCAACAGAATGCCGATACCAGCTCCGAAGCGTGACGATGCTCCGTCGACGTGTAGCATCCATATTTCTAAATTTTTCGGGTCGACGCTTAAGAGCTCCGGTGATAGCTCGATCAAAAAATCCGCCAAAACTTGTGATTTCGCGGAAGTCCGCATTCGATACTCGATATCGAACTCGGAAAGCTCGACTGCCCACTTCGCCATGCGGCCGGACTGCGTCGGGCTGTGCAGGATCGAACGAAGAGGTTGGCTGGTCATGACGGCAATGGAATGAGATTGAAAATAAGGTCGTAGTTTTCTTGAAGCGACGACCACAGAAAGAGCGAGTTTTTCTAAGGTCGGGTAGCGAGCTTCAGCACCATCCAAGGTTTTGCTGAAGTAGAAGATCGACTTCTGCTCTCCACGGTCCTCTCGAACCAGGACTCTGCTGATTGCCGCGCTGGAGACCGCAACGTAGAGTAGCAGAGTGTCGCCGTACTCAGGTTTGGCCAGGATCGGTGGTGTCGAAAGGTAGGTTTTGAGCTGTACGAATGCGTCTTCACACTTTTCGTCCCATTCGAATCGCTTGTTGTCTCGTAGGAGTTGATAGAAAGGAAGACACTTGTCTGTAGATCGGGATATGAATCTGTTTAGCGCGGCAATTCTTCCTGTTAGGCGCTGAACTTCGCGAGTGTTAGTTGGCGAGGGTAGCTCCAAGATCGCGGAGATCTGCTTAGGATTGGCTTCGATGCCACGCTGAGTGACCAAGTATCCTAGAAATTCGCCGGATGTGACTGCGAAGGTGCATTTTGCGGGGTTGAGTTTCATGCCATACTGGTTCAGTATGAGAAAGCATTCTCGCAGATGGATGATGTGGTCGGCTGCTTTAGCTGATTTGACTAGCATATCGTCTATATATACTTCCATCGTTTTCCCAAGCTGGTCGGCGAACATTTGGTTGACCAGGCGCTGGTAAGTGGCTCCAGCGTTTTTCAAACCAAACGGCATGACTTTGTAACAGTAGGTGCCCCGATCTGTGATGAATGCGGTCTTCTCGCTGTTGTCCGGATTCATGAGAATCTGATTATATCCTGAGAATGCATCCATAAAGGAGAGTAGCTCGTTGCCTGCTGTAGCCTCGACGAGCTGATTGATACGAGGAAGAGGAAAACTGTCCTTCGGGCAAGCTTTGTTAAGGTCGGTGAAATCCACGCAGACCCGCCACTTGCCATTTTTCTTTTTGACGACCACCGGGTTGGCGAGCCAATCTGGATACTTTACTTCGGCGATTGATCCGGCCTTCAGGAGTTTATCTACTTCATCGTGGACGGCTTGCGCTCGCTCAGGTCCTAACTTTCTTTGCTTCTGCTTGATCGGCTTGAAGGTTGGGTCGATGTTCAATTCGTGACTCGTTATTCGGGGGTTAATGCCCTTCATTACCTCGAATTTGACCGTAATTGATTTCCCGCGTATGGTGACAGGCATCGTTATAGTTCCTATTATCGAAATCGAGTCTCCAGCGAATCCTATGAGTGGTGATGGTGCGACTTTGATGTCCCGCTCGGGGATACTCATCTTGCGTAGAGTATCCATGAAGATGAGGTCGACCGAACTTCCAGTGTCGATCAACACTTTGGAGACGTCGTCCTCTCCGAGTCATAGTGAGATGACGAGTGGATCGTTATGAGGTCGGTCGATGTCATGCGCGTCCTGCTCTGTGAATGTGATCGGGAGGTCGTCCTTGAACAGTAGTGGTGCGTCCTTCGGGAGATTGGCTGCCTTCCGTTCGTGCCGTTTAATTGAATTTATCGAGTCGATGCACGAGAGGAGCCCTCCCATGATCATGTTGATCCGCCGACGTGGTGAGCTTGGAGGTGTGTGATCGTCTTCACGGTCACGCTTTGCTTCCTTGCCCTCGCGTTTAGAAGAGCGATCTGTGTTATCTCTTCTATCGTGATCGTCATCGGGTCGCCTGTCCTCATCGTCGGATCATCGTGAACTCTGGGGTTCTGGAAGGGTGATCTCGCCATCGTCCCACCTCTTCCTCAAGAGGGCTGGGAGGGTGCGGCAATCATCGGTATGATGACCGTGCGCCCTATGGTATTTGCACCATGGCTTCTTACTGTCGGAGAGTCTCTGTCGCTCGAGCGGTCCCACACGTTCCATGGCTTTTTTGGTCGTCCAACTGCGTTGATGCTCTTGCGATTCTTGTCATCCTTGTCATAGTGCTGACGGAGCTCTTTGTAATCTTCCTGACTCTCCGATCTGCTTTTTTTATCGTACGAAGATTTCTCATTGGCCAACTTGGCCTTGGCCTTGGCTGCCCGGTCCTCCTCGACTCTGATGTACCCGGATGCCTTGTGCAAAGCATCTTCGAGGGTTTTGGTTTTTCCTGTCTTCAATCGTTCACAAAACGATGAATCATCCTTCAAATTCTTGATAAGAATATTGAAACACAGTTCATCCGACAGACTGCACTGGGAGACGATTGATCGGAATCGATCGATAAAATCGTGTAGCGGTTCCGTGTCGCCCTGGACGCATGCCCATAGATCGAGCGCTGTGGACTCCGTGTCGATGTAAATCGAATAATGCTTCAGGAACCGAGTTGTGAGCTCCTTGAAGCTGTCGATGGAGTTCTTGGGAAGCTGTGAGAACCAAGTGAGGGCGCTCCCGAAGAGCGTCTCCACAAAGTATTGACAGAGGCATGCTTCCCGTTCCTCATCGGTGAAGCGAGCATGTCCCATGACTGCGTTGAACGCGGTCAGGTGTCGCTTCAGGTCTGTCGTACCGGAGTAACTCGGAGGTAGCTTCATCCGACCTATGTCCTTAAGAGGAGCATTGGTGATAGCCGACGTGAACGGGGTTTGCTGTGTCTCCTGAAGGATCTTATCCAACTCGGGCGCTGAAGTCGTCGCCTTGTGGATCTTGCTGTGGATATCGTCAAGGCGTTGGTGGAGCAGATCGAGTTCCGAGGTTGTCGTCGGGTCGGTTCCTGCGATATTGCGAGATGAGCGGGCATGCGAGCCGTCTGCCTGTGCTCTCCGTAAGTCGTCCGTCGGTATCGTGCCAAACAAGTTGTTGACCAGCCTGGTCGTATCTGTGTTACGGATCGAAGGGCGAGGAGGAGTGATAAGATTGGCCTGCTCTTGGGTATGAACCCTAGAGTTTATAAGCCGATCCAAGTCTTCTCTGTAAGCTATCTGCTCGGCACGGAGGGACTCGAAACGAACATCCATCCCCTGTTGCAACTGTGCTGCAACCGACCTGATGATCGTGGTCATGTCGATGGGAGGTGGCTGTGGCAGGCTGGTCGTGTTTGTGCCACCCGACTGACCGACCTGGTCTGTTCCCCAGTGTTTTGTGCGGTAGTTGTATTGTCTTCCTGATCGGTCTGGTGGGCCACCGGAAGCCCTGTGGCTAGGTCGATGGTCGGATCCTGAATGTTTCTTGTCGGATCGGGGGCTCCTGTGAGGTCGGTAGTGTTGATTGGTGTTTGAACCATCTTCAAACTCCGTTCTAAGTCAAAGATTACTCTTTTATTCCCCACAGACGACGCCAACTGTAAAATCTCAAATTCGATCTGAAGACTGAACAAGAGTTTGTGGGTTTAAAGAGAGATCTTTATTAGAATTGAGTCGGAGCTTGAGAGATACAAGATAGTTTTAGGTCGTCGGAATAAGAACACCGACCTAGACTTTTAAGGAAAGTAAATCAAAAGCTAAGAACAATTAGATTGCTTAATCTGTCTTAGGTCTCGAGGAGTGATTTTCGGATGGATTGAGGAGTCGAAGGACTTCCTGCATTTATAGCCGATCAGGTCGGTCTTCGACCTGTTTGGAATAGGAAACTCTTGTCGGCAAGAAGGAATTTCCTTTTTTTCCTGAGTCGCTCGATAAATGGAAGATTTTCTTTTATGTCGCCGACCTGAAACTTGTTAGACGGGCCGACCATAATTCATATCGGGCTTGTTAGAGACGGTACGGATCTCATCTCTAACAGTCGGAATTGTAGAATATGCTTATTTAAAAATATTCTGTTTTTTACTATATATTATAAAAAAATAAAATATTAATAATTCAATTAATTATTATAAAATGATATAAGTCTAATTGTAACTTTTTAATAATTTATTTTTCAAAATAAAAAAATTTAAAATATTGCAAACCTTAAATAATAGATATAACTTTATCATTTTTTGTAATATTAAATTATTTATTTAAATAATAAAATATAATTAGTTATATAATTGAATAGTATAAATATTGATTTCGTAAATAATCTATTCCAAACATGCTTTTCTGCTAATAATTTCTTTGTATTTTATATAAGCAAAAACGTAAATCTGGAGATCTTGCGTTTTTGCAATTTTTCCGCATATTTTTTTTATTAGTAAAATTTTTGAGTTTTTATGTTTTCCACCATTACAGCATTCAACAAGTGTTACCAATACCATTCAACCCCTTTGTCTAAATATCAGGACAATAAAGGGAAGAGGAGTTTACCCTGGCGGATGATTATGCGCAGCGGTGAGAATCGATCGCCTGAGATTTCGGTGACGGAGGCAGAGAAATCGTAATCCGGTGGTGAGAAACAAACTACGAGGCTGATTTTACCCTGACGGATGATTATGCGCAGCGGTGAGAATCGATGGCCGGAGATAGAGATATCAGATCCGCGTGATGCTATCATAGTTTTGGTAATAATTTATTATATTGAAATACGAGTTTTGGAATATACAAGTATAAGTATCGGATCTGTGTGTACTATATATGCGAGAGAGAGAGGGCAAAAGTGAAGTGAAAAAACTGTTGTCTCACTGTTTTGTCTTTTTTAAGAATGTTTGTTGTGTTCTGTTCTACTTGTCTAGAAACTGTGTTTAAACAGACACACATATAACAAAGTCAGAGGAAGTTGAAGAAGAAGAGAAGGGAAATCTTCAACACAAACAAAAATCTGATTGCAAGAAGAGAATTCAATCAACTTAGATATCTCACTGTTCGTCTTCTATCTATCCATCAACATTGTGTAGTGCCTTTATGAGTGAGTTTCATTCTTCTACTCTTCTTGGTTTTAACGTGTCATATGTTACTTTTTAATTCATTTGTATAAGAGTTTTGGAAATAATGAAAATCTTGAATGATTTTGCTCTGTAGGGAGGGGTTTTGAGACAGCAAAATAAAGGTTCTTAAAGATGAATTTTACAGAAGCTATGAATGTTGTGCACGACAGGATCCAACAATGAACCAGAGAACACGTCAAATATCATCGGTTATCTCTCGTTGATGCAAGACCATAGTGACCGTGACATGATCCGTCTCGCCTTCTGTCTAGATTCCGTGATGCGTTCCATGATCAACTGTGTTACACGAAGAGAAATAGAAGATCTGAGAAGAAGGACATTGTTTATTATCTATGAAATTGTGTTTTTTTTTTAAAAAAAAGTCTTTTCATTTGATCAAATCCTGTCGTTTTCACTGCAAAGGCCATGATCCCTTTGTATAATGTCAGGAAACGGTTTCTTCCGTGACGCTACGTCAAACCAGATCCTCAGTGCCTAATCTATCTTTTCAGGTCCAATCTTTTTTGAGTATCACTTATTTCCTCTCTTGTTTCCTCTTAAACAAAGTCCTTGGTCATTCTTATTGTGTTGCTGTGTAGGGGCATTTTTAGATGCTAAGCTTAGGAAGATCTTACCTGGTGAATGAAGAAGGTGGGCCTAAAAGCTGAACAGGCGATATTAGTGTATCTCTCTAAAGCTCCAGTGGCGGTCTTAATTGTGGCGGTGTTGGAACGCTTATTGCAGCCAGGTTTCAAATTTCTCTCATGTTTAGTATTAACCAATCCATTGATACATTTAGAGTTGCAGTTGCTCTCACTGAAACTTAAACCTCAAAGAAACATAGTAACTTATCATTGAAACTTAAAACCACAGTAGAGTTGCTTTTGATAGCATTGGCTCTATGTTGTAGAGATCTTCTTTGAATGGTTTCTCTATTCTTGATTTTAAAAATCGAAACTTGCATCGTGGGTTTTGTAGGTTGTGGCGTGTAGTTTTGTATACGGAAGTGCAAAAGCCAAAGAAATCAAGCAAGAAAGCGGCTCAAAGGAACACAAGAAGAGCATAAACAACAGCAACATGGAGACACCGAAGATTGATCCCTTGCTATCAATCAATGCCGTTAAACCATTAATTTAACTATTCCTTACAGTAGATGATTTCGAACAACTTTACCATGACCCTTCTTAATTTAACTAATAGCTGAGTTGTTTTTAAATTTTGTTTCTCTTTGATCATATCTATTTATAACAACCATTACAAATAATAATAATAAAAACAAAAATATATTAGAAAATGTGTTTAACTTTAAATAAAAAAACCTCAAAGAGATAAATGTGTAATTCTAAATCGACATACAACTTAAACATATTTCAGTTCATGTAATCCATAAAGTTTTTTGCGGATGAAACATTCATCCAGATTTCAATTCTCACAGTCTTCCAAAACCTCGCACTCATCTCTAAAATAAACCGTTGAGTGTTCAATTGATATTGCTCCACTGTTTCTATTCCTTGATTTTTCCTTAGTTGGGTAAGCTGTCATTGTTAATTGCTTCAAACCTTCCTTCACATTTTTAAAGTAGAAGAAATTAAATAAACCACATAAAATATCCCATGTATATTACCATATTTTGCACTCTTCCAACGGCTTCGTTTTCTTTGATATCCTCTTATAAAATATTTTCTAAACGAACACTTCTTATAAACTTCTGAATATTTTGAAACTCCACTCAATGTTTTGCATGTTGATGACATACAAGACTCTAAGTCTACGTGAAAAAAAAAAAGAAACAACTTTAATAAGTATGATCACAAGCATGTCATATGGTAACATGGTAAAATTTGTTTGGTTGGTAAATAAAAGATAATCACACCTCCTATTTATAGTCATCCGAAGATATAATATGTCTTTCCATTTTTTCCTACTTAAATTTAGTCAACTTACAATAATAAGTATTACTTATAATAATAGAGTATATTTATTATGGTCTATTGTATTTATTTATCTTAACTATTACTAATTTTTGGATACATTTGATATCTATAATTTCCTTCATTCTCTTCTCAAAATCATCAAACATTCATTAAATATGTTTTTCTGTGTCCAATAATAATTTATTAACAAAATCATTTTACTTTTCAATCACAACTTATTTCATAAATAACTACTTCTTGAATGTTTTACCTCACTTCATTTTTTGCTTTTCTTCACTGATTATACGCAAGTTTATTTACACTTGCAATTCAACATGTCATTTTTAATTGCAATTGTTTAATTATTCTCAAAATTTCTAACAGATTTGTCAAAAGCTCTTTGTTAAACTGAACAATTCGAATTTCACGTTATAAGGAATGGTGACACTTCTCTATTTTCAGTCCCTAACAACAAAGCGGTATCTGAATCTACCACATGTACTTACAGGTTGGCGATATCAAATCCTTCCTTTTGTATGATATGTCCATTTGTAACTACCGTGACACCAACGTAAGGATTTATTACTTCTATAGGTCTTCTTTGTCGAATACTGTTCAGCCGCGCCATGTCAAAGAGCTATGTTCGTTTTTGGTCTCAAAATCGGTGGACGTAGCCAATAAACTTAAATCAGCCACACCAGGTTTTTGTGGTGTTTTCGAGGGAGTCATCGAGGATATGCATTTGCATCAGAAACACAGCAGTGGTGAAGTTTAGAAAAGGTTCCTAAAGAATTTGCCATTATCTATTAATAATATAAATTTTTATGTGGCAGATACTCATTTAATATATAATAAATTTTGTTTACAATTTTGTTTTACTTTAATGAAAGCAATAGTTGTGAATGTGTATTACCGAAATTATAATTTTTTCTTGAAAAGGACATCGATTATTTTTTTTTATTATGAATTTTAATTTCATAACCAAGTTGAATAGTAGTAAAGTTTAAATTTCAATATGTTGAGATATCAAAAAAGTACATGAATCAAAATACACGGCTATTTATAAATAAATATATATACTTAATAAAAGGATGATTGAAAGAGAAAAGACTATTATATTTGAAAAGAAAAAAGAAGAGAATTTTTTTAAAAAAGACATATAAATCAAAGGCAATGTAAATTTAAGAAAAATATATAATTCATTAAAATTTTAATATGTTATAAGAAAATAAAAATAAAATTTAATCTTATAAGTGAAATAATATACTATAAATTAACAAGTTCAAAATTATATTATCAACATATTTAAAATAAAATATTATATTAATTATAAATCTAAAATAAATAATAAAATATAAATCTGCGTGTATGCGCGGGTCATCACCTAGTCTATTACTAATAAAAGTTGATGTTAAATGCCTTTAAGGGTGTTCACATAGGATTTAAAGATTCAATTCTATTGATACACATCAACATTGATAATTAATTATCTATATACTAAAATTAATTAGTTATAATATTAATAAAGGAAAATATCAATAGTAATATATTTTTTAATAATGGAAAGGAAAAACTATTTATCAATATGTTAATATGGAAAATAGTATATATCAACATCATCAATATATTAAAAAGGAAAATTTGATACAAATGTAAGTAATAAACTTAAAAAGGTTCTTTTAATGGAAAGGAAAATATCAATATTATAAACTTGCATTTACTATATTCAGAGCCATGCCAAGGTAATTTGATGTCGTAGGCGATAACAAAAAAAATTTTAATATACAAAATATTAATTTATAAAAAAATAAAAATATATAATAATAAAAATTAATTAAAAATGTCTAATATAATAATATTATTATATAATAAATAAAAAACTAAGCACGATAATAATTAAAAACATAATTCTTATTCCATTTTCCCACAAAATCATTAACCAATCTTTCAAAATTAATTTCTCTAACCAACTCTCTTTCGATAGATAAAATCGTCAAATCACTCAATCTTTTTTTTGTGATATACTCGGGAGAAGATATGATTTTATCAATTTTAACTTTAAAAAACTTCTTTCAGTAGATACAACAGAGACTAGAATCGTCAACAATACTTGATAAGCGATCCATGAGTTAGAATAAAAAGTCTTGCTGCTCTTCAAAAAATCTAACACTTCAATAGACTTTTTTACTTTTTTTGGGTAAAGCTTATCTCATTATTGATAATGTCTGAATGCTCTCTATCGTTTAAAGATTTTTCAAGTTTGGTACAAGACGCCATCAAACTATCATCACTCGCTTTCTTTCTTAATTTGTTTCTATTTATATTAATTATTTTACTATAATTGTTTTTTTGCTTAAAGATAAATGTAATATTTATTTAAGTTTTTTACCATATTTATTTGGGATTACTTATGAAAAATAACTAAAGCCTACTAATTGTTTTTTTCCCAAATGGGGCTGCAGGCGAAGGCCTCTTTTGCCATAGGGTAGGCACGACCCTTATATTGCCATGTTCAAAAACATTTTGATAACCTATCTCTTAGAAAATATTAAATATGAAATTATTTTTTATTACTAATAAAAATTGATGCTAAATGCATCTAAGAATGTCCACATAGGATTTAAAATTTTGATTCTATTGGTACACATCAGCATTGATAATTAATTATATATCTATTAAATTAATTAGTTATAATATTAATAAAGGACAATATCAATAGTAATATATTTTTTTAATAATGGAAAAGAAAAACTATTTATCAATATGTTAGTATCGAAAACAGTATATATCAACATCATAAATATAGTAAAAAGAAAAATTTGATACAAATGTAAGTAATAAACTTAAAATGGTTCATTTGATGGAAAAGAAAATATCAATATTATAAACTTGGATTTACTATATTGTAAACTATATTATATTGCCATGTTTAAAAAAATTTTGATAACCAAAAGTTTTTTTGATAACCTATCTCTTAGAAAATATCAAATATGAAATTATTTTTTGCAAAAAATTATTTTGTTAAATAAAATTATTTTCTAAAGTTTTTGATAACCTATCTCTAAGAAAATATCAAATATGAAAATATCAAATTATTTTTCGCAACCTGTCAATACAATTAAAATTAAAATTTATATCAAAAAGTTAAATTAACAAAAAAAGGACATTAACTTGATATCTATGCTATTTTTTATTAAACAAAATCAATATAAACAAAATAAGTAAGGAAATGCAAAAACTTAAGCAATAGTAAAAAACTTTACTAACAGAAAGAAGTTAAATATTTAAGCTAATGACTTAAGAAATTAATATTAAGAAATTAATTAACAAAGAAAAATAAAATGAAAATTAAGTTATAAAAAATGCTAAATTAAAAAAAATCACATAAAAAAAATTGACTTGATATCGAACTAACTACTTATGAAATCAATATAAAAATATTTAACTAACAAAAAAAACAAAAAATGAATTTATGTCTTCAAAAATATCAATATTTTTAAAATAATTACATATTAAAATAAAATATAAATAAATATCAAAAGAGGTAAATTAGCAAAGGAAAAAGTTGTATAAAGAAAATCTAGCTTGATATTTGGACTAATATTTTGAAAAATTATCATAAACAAATTAACTAAAAAAAACAAATGATGGTATAAGATTTTGAGAGAAGTCCACACAAAATTTAGAATGTCCAGTTATAACATGTCAAAATAGCATTATAATTAAAATAAAAATTAATGTAAAAAATAAATATTAAAGAGATTAAATTGATATATGCTACCTATTTGGAAAATCAATAACAAAGAGATTAATTAAAAATATATATGTTTTAAATATAACAAACATGCACAAAACAAGATAAATAAAAATAAAATATAAAATTACTATAAAAAATATGTAAAATAACAAAAAAACAAAATCTACGAAGAAAATTAGTTTAAAATTTAGTTCTAAAAAATTCATATTGAATATGAATAATCATATAAAGTTACAGTAGGTTATACAAGTTTCTAAAGCAAGCATGTTATTTAAATTTACAATGACTAATACCGTGGCTGCGTCTGGTTTAATAACTAACAAAAAAATACTACACAAGTAAGTTTACATTCGAAATATAACAACTAATTTATACATAGTTACTACTTATAACTTAGCCAACATGAACATCACATAAGTAGCATCTTCTAAAATTTCCTTTAAATAATAAAGTATGACAAAGTTATAGATCAAATTTAAATTGAAATATATCTAGATAAACTATTCGAATAAAAAAATGAATAAACCACACAAAATGTAAAAACAGTGATAATGTGAAGACTCCACACCATCTTACATGTTTAAAAACAAAAACTATCTTATAGTTGATTGCAAATAAAACAGATCTTATAAACTGAATAGAGATATAACCTAAAAT